ATGTCATCTTGTCTCAACACTCTCATGAATCAACATCTGGCTGTGGGATTGGTGGGAGTTTAATGTGACACTTGTAGGTGGAGAGTGTAAAGTGCAGGATGATTGGGAGCTGCTTCCTCAGTGTGATGGCATTTTAAATTGCATTTCTTTCTTTGTTCCATTTAGTGTCTCTCAAGCATCTTATTGCACATCTTATAAAGAATTTTATTTTTTTTCGGTTTGGTCAGACTACAATAACAGATTATCTCAACAGATTTTCTTGGGCACGCAGATTTTACATTGAACGTCAAGTGGCGACCCAACTTGATACCAAAACTATGACTGAAAATGAAAATGTTCAATTTTGGTGTCTATTGCTTAAATTCGATCGTTTCATGCGCTCAGCAACCAATAACTTATAAAACACATTGTGGTCAGAACGAACCATGTTTTATGCGTTTTGGCAGATGCATTTATTTAATGTGACTTGCATTGCATTCAGTGTATACGTTTTTATCAGCTTGTGCGTTCCCTTGGAATTAAACTCATGACCTTGGTGTTGCTACCACCATGTAACATTCCTGTAGTTCAAACAGTTGAGCATGTAATTTCCTACTTTTGTTGAAAATGAATGACTTTGGTCGCTTTGATGCTGTCAGTTCTAACCAGATGAATTTTAACCAAAATATCAGTGTTTGATTGAATGCACAGCTTTTAACATAAAATGTTTTAAAACTTGAAATATTTTTCTGTCCTGACAATGGCCAAATGTGTATATATAAATTGCCTTAAATGATGGTATACATTCCTGTGCATCCTCTACATCTAATGTTCTGTCTGCAGTGACTTGAACCACAGTACACAGTATGTGCAGGGACTGGCCTTGTGCACCCTGGGCTGCATGGGCTCATCCGAAATGTGCCGTGACTTAGCTGGAGAAGTGGAGAAACTCCTCAAAACGTCAAACTCCTATCTGAGGAAAAAGGTATTTCACACTCCTTCACAGCTGAACGTGGACTTCATGTCCAGTTGCATGTCGAGCTCTGAATGTGTGAACGGTTTTGACATGAGCTCTTCGCCCTCAGGCAGCTCTGTGTGCAGTTCACGTCATCCGCAAAGTCCCGGAGCTGATGGAGATGTTCCTGCCAGCAACAAAAAACCTGCTCGGCGAGAAAAATCATGGTGAGAGCTGCTTTCTTTAACCTTTCCCGTAGATCTCATTTTATTGTCGTTAAAAATTAATTTAACAGATGCATCATTCCTACTAAGTCGTACATTTCCATCATGTATGTCTTAACAAATTGGGAAAAATTAATGCATGTTAAATTAAAAATTAAAGTTTTTAAAGATTGAAATCGCATTAGTTTGTTTTCTGTAATTGCAATATCACAATTAAGTGAACTTGGTGGTTTGATTTAAGGTGGATGCTGCCAACTTCTAAAATGGGAAAATGTCCTTTTTTTCTAATCTAATGTTCTAAGCATTACATGTTTTCTTGGTAATATTGTTTAAATTGATTATGAATTTGTTTAAATGTTAAAATGCGAAGTTGACGCTCCCATGTAAAATGTGAGTCCCCCGTTAAGCTTTAGCAAACATAAGCTTTTTTCATACATTAAGATTTAAGTCAGTCTTTCACATTCAGCAGAAACAGGAGAATATTGGTTTGTTGTTGATTTTCCTAATGTAAACAAACTTGCTCATGAGTTATATAATGAAATCTGATAAGGAAATCGATGTATTGTTCTGTGTTTTCTGCAGGAGTTCTCCACACGTCTGTTGTTCTGCTCACTGAAATGTGTGAGCGAAGTCCTGACATGCTCTCTCACTTCAGGAAGGTGCGTAGCAAGCGTTCATGTCTTGACCTTCTGCAGTCACCTCTAAAACTGTTTATGCACCACATCAGCAACTCTGAGACAAAAGCGCACTCTATCTGTTGCTGATAGCATTGACATGACTACTGAAATGAGACTGTAGTCCTTACTGAAATCTGGATGCTTGTCCTGGATTTAGCTGCAGGTGTGGTTATCTCACTGGGAGATGAATACGGGTTCTTCCTCTCGGTGTATCTGCTTCTACTTTTCCCACCCCCAGCCTGATCTACTGTGCCAGCACGCCCACCTCTCATGCTCATAACCGTAACATTATGTTAAGCTCTTCTCTGAAAGTGACTTTTTTTCCAATTCCCCCCTAACATCTACTTCATATTTTTTCTGTCATTTGTCTTTGTTACAATTCCTGCATTGTGTTAGAATGAGAAGGTAAGAGGACATTCTGGTTTCATAGCTGGTGCATGCTTAAAGAAAATAAACAAAAAAAAGCCTCATCATCATGGTCACTGTAGATATAGTCCAATTTTTGGTTTTGATGTACTGGTTTTTTTTTTTGTTTGTTTTTTTTGCAGTTGTTGTCATTTAAGTGTTTTCTTTTTTGTTTTTTGACATATACATTTTCACTTGTCCTGCGTTTACCTTTAGATTAATTTCTCTTTCATACGGTCACTATTGGGTTGTGGTTTTTCCAATATGTACATTATATTGGGGCATATGAAATGGAGACTTTTGCCAAATTAATAAGGATCATGTTAATGCACATAGAAAAAGTACCAAACAATTACAATAAAGACTGACATGACCTCCATGTCTTAAAGGGGTCATATGATGCTTTTTTTAAAGATCAGTATTTGGTGTAACAGA